TTGTTACTCTTACTCCAACCTCTCAAACGTAGCTTATCATTATCTTGTATTTATCTGCGATAATACAACGATTACTCAAGTATATGGCCTATGAGTATGATACTCTTCTCTTTAGTCTGATATCCTAGTATTTCTCCATGGTTGACTCTCGTGATGTTTAAGTGCAAGCTATGTTTGCTTGAAAATATTTCATCAATTGTAGAAAACAGAGAACGATATCACAAGTGTTGGGAATTTGATAGATATCTTTGGCAAAAGCAATGGAAAATGATTTTACAATTTTTGTAAATTCTTAAAATGATTTATTTACCTTAGTCTCCTTTCTCTCGTTCTATAGGAGTCGTTTTTCATGTTCTTGCTTGCTCGCCACACAACTTGCACTTCGCATACGGGTTAATAATTTCCTTTTCTTCCTCACCTTGCCTCGACTAATAGTTTCTGCTTTTATTTATTTATTTATTATATTTTCTGTTTGTTTTTTGCACAATTATTAACATGTTTTGTTCTTGTTATTTTTACTTACTTTGCAAAGGTCTTGGCCTTCGCCAGGAAGAAAGAGATGGTTTCAGATTTTCAATTATTTAACTACTACGAGCGCGAGCGGATTTGAACTCGATTCTTATCATTAACTTAGTCTGTCGTTATGTATTCAAATTGTAACAATTAATCCTGCGGTATGTGTACATTGTTGGCCGAAAATTTTTAAAAAATAGACGAGCGGCGACCTATTTTTAAAGTACATAAATTCTTGATTGGCTTGAAAAGAACAACAATATCACTAGGTACGATGTCGCCTTAACTAAACGCAGATCCGTCGCTCGAAACTGTAAAATTAGTCCCGATGGGCAGATTTTATTTCAATCGTTTTCTTTTCTAGATCAAGAGGTTAGACACACCTATTAGAAAAGCCATGTCTAAATGGAATTCATGAGTATGGGATTTATCTGCTGGCAAATGGGACAAAAATTATAGCTTTCTGCTAAGAGTGACAGCTTTCTGTTTTAGGAAGAAATCACTAAAAGAATTTATCAGAAAACCAAATCTTTTCTCAAGTTAAGTTTTATATACAACATAAACAATTGAGGATCCTCTTTCGAGAACTAACCCGATGAGTACCAATTTTGAGCACTTTGTTATTTACCACTGGCTGGAAATCGAATTTCTTAACAATATAGGAAATAGGGGGTAGAAAAGGGTGTGAAGTTATATTTAAATATAACTAGCAAAGACACAAACTAAAATTATTTACAGAGCTCTGTAAAGCCGTTAACAGAATTCTGTTAAACGAAGTCTCGGAGGGATTTGGCTCAAAATACAAGTAAAGTAGAACTTTTCGCAAATTTTTTTGCAAATTCTTATAAACAAAACATGACTTTATGTAAATTAATTAATATTCGAAGCCAAAACTTTTTTACACTATGCCATAAATGAGGTTGAAAAAGCGAAAGTTTACGGAGCTACTGTGACCAAACCATCTCCCTTGAAAAAATGAAACCAGCACAGAGTGAATCCTCTATTAATAGCCTTTCCAACGGTGTGCGGGTTGTATTAAGTTTTGCCC